TCACGTGACTATCACGTGACATAATTTAAGACTTAAAGGCACTGGTTAATTTGTTATTGTATTAAAAAAAGCAAGACACTAGGCATAGTAATCCCACAAGGCCAAAATAATCGGTACTTTGCATCAGCCTCGTTTCCATGTAAGGGCCTTGTATGCCATATTTTTGACATGCGCATTCCATGGTTCTGGAAGCAAATTTGGCATGGCTCCATATCAGGAAATATTTGTCTTATAGAGGTTAGTAACCCTGCCAAGTTTGATGCTTTTATCAAGAAAGGAACAATTTTGACCCTTAACAGCTGGACTAAAAGTGGTTAAGTCTATTAATCCCAACTGGCTCATAGCTCTCTGCGTGTCACTGCGATTTCTATAGCATAAAGTGAGTAGGAGTGTTGGTATTCCCCTTAGCTTGGACGGGGTGCCCGTCCATCGCAGGGCTACCCCCAACATTCCGTAACCCTGCGTGGGACTAACACCCCATCCACGGGTGAGTAGAAATACTCCTAGTCGCTTCATACATACATACCTACCTACATACATATACTTTATTTACTGTCGAATTGTAGGTAGCTAAAATTAGCTAATATCTTCGAGAACATAGATATAACAAAATACAATACTTATACAATAAATATGCTAAAAATAATGAAAGAGCTAAACCACGTACATAATAAAACTAGAAACAAGTTGCAATGCTACGGAAAAGAGTCATATTGTTGTATCTTTCGCTTAAGGTCCGCAAAAGTAGAGGTTCTAAGTAAGTCCGGAAGAGAGTTTCATAATTTAGCAGCTAAATATGAAAAGGAATGCAGGCCGTAAGCTTGTTGTTTTTGGATCAGGAAGAGACAATATAATTACCGCGTATACTATAGGTTGTAGAGCGCAGGGTAAACATAGTACGTAAATATCTTGGATAGTTATTACAAAAGAAATTCGTATATAGTATAAACTAGTAGTAATCAGAGATTATGAGAGTGCGTTCGACGCTCTCACTTTAATATATAATTATATATCGTAAATAAATGATTTCACTAGCTGACTNCCAAACAATAAAATTTCGACCGGATAAAGACTGAGCTATCTGTCGCGACTGGAACTAATCAACAAATGCAATCAAATTGTAGCTGTTCCCACGGTTATCATCCCAAAGCCAAGTTGTGTAATAAACAAGGACAATTCCCTCAGATTGCGATAAATGCTGCCGTCGAAGTGTTTAAATTCGCCAAAATCTAACGCTGAGAGTACATAATAGCGAGGCGTACGGCGACTGAACAGAAAGAAGCCAAAAAAGGATCCATCGGAAAGAAGAGCTCAGATGGCCTGCTCACATACTCACATGTTTGCCACATGTCTTATCACATGTCTTAGCATTAAACGGTACCAGTTTACTGACCGTGACATGCCCCTGCTAAAATCAAGCGGGGTGGCCATTTTGGTGTCCTTACAGGAATGAGGTTTTTTTCAGCCTAGAACCGTGCACAGGGAGACCAACTCTAAAAAGTCACAGGTCAAAATTAGGTTTGCGTTCCACTTCGTCGAACGCAATAAAAATTTTGAGGGCGTCTAATAAATGCAGAGGTTTTAAATTAATTTTATCCAGTAAATTACTATAGGGCGAGTTACCACAAAAATGCCATACGGACGAACAGTAAAAAGCTCCGGATAAACTCCGGCCTGATGAGCCACTTGGTTCGTATGCGGACAAACGAAACTGTTGCGTGGCGTCTGCGGTGAACAAGTGAAACTCCCATTTATCGACCTAACCCATAGACTCCTGTGCCGGCCGTAACCGGCCGTGACGAGCCTTGGCCTTTGTTCCACTTCTGACGTCATCACCTTTGACCAAAATTGGCATCATCTATGCTCAACTTCTGCAAGGGGAAAAGATCTTTCCAATGATACCCAGATCAGAGTGATCGGCTCAATGGAGCTTGAGATATGCACAAAAATGCTCAAAAAGTTGAGTGAAAAACTCAGAGCAAAATTTCCTGCCGCTACACGTGGCTACTCCATGGTAAAAACTGCCTGTCTCGATGATGCTTTCTCAGAATTTTTTTAAACTGGAAGCAAGCCCAGTAGAAGGTCAATCACTACAGCAAAAAGAAAAGGAAAGGAGAAAAAGGAAAGGCGAAAAAAAAATTTAAAAAATCGAAAAGCCTAAAGACGTAGGTCACTTTCTCAAAATTTTGATTTCTGCGCATGCCCGAGCAAAAATGTCGTAAAATGCGATGCCAGTGGAAAGAAAGGCATGCTGTCATATTGCAAATGCCCTTTTGAGCAGATTGGAGCTAATTTGGCCCATATCCAGCCTGAAAATCACCAAAATGTCCAAAAACTGCGTTTTTGGCTAAAAGCTCCAGGAGTCAATGGGTTAAAGTTGATAACATTATAAAAGGTAAATTAATCGCCGTAGCAAGTTTGTGAAGCTGATGTTTTGAGCGTCAGCCCCTCGTCAGAGCAGGATGCTAACGAAGGGTGACGTTGGGTTAAACTCGTTATTCAGAATACTTCGTCTTCCATAAATAAAAAACCCGACGCATAAAAAATTTTAATCATTCTTATTGGCGGGATACTGCTTCCCGTCAGAAACTACCGGAAGGCAACATAGCGTACAGTTGGCGTAAAATTAACCCCGGAGGTGTGGAGTAAGGAAACATTGACGTGTATCAAAAATTTTCTTATTTAAGAACGCTTGCAGGTTTGGCCTGGAATCTAAGGCGCCTCTAACCAAAGCCCTGGCCAAACAAACGCGCAAGTAAACGCAAGTTGAAAACTTGGGTCTACTTGCGACTCCGTTTGCCCAAGGCCTTGCGTGCACTTGCGTTGACTTTCGATGAATTGCGCTCACTTTGGTCGAGATCAAATTTGCACCCTAGTCGACGCAAATTTTTCGCCGTTTGGTTACCCAACCCAAGTCAATGCAAGTTGAGTGACGTCCATTCGTTTTTGTAGCAGCCTATTACCCAATGAGATACAGGATTTCTCTACCTTAAAATGGGTTTTTGCGACTTGCATGAACTTCCCAGGAAAATTGCGAGTCCGTTTGGCCACCCAACGCAAGTCTCGCGACTTCCGGCTACTTGCAACTACTTGCGAGCCTGTTTGACTAGAGCTTTATGAAGCCAAGTCATTGATATTCATCGTCAATTCTAAATTTATTTCGAACTGGTTCCGCCAAGTCGTTTTGAATTTTTTTTGTTTCCCCTCGTATACAGTATAAATCGACAACACTGCAACTGACCTCAAGATAACCTCGCCGAATATGATACGGATCTGTCGCTGTTGATTTTTCAGTCGATTTCTTTTTGTTATTTCCTAGTCTGTCCACAGACGTCTTTTCATGCAAGCGCGCGTTCCGCGCGAGAACCGCGGGAATCTAACTTTGTTTTGTCTTCATCAGCCCCACCCCGTTGCGTTACGGCTCGTTCAAATCCCCCGCGGTTAGTATTTTGCTTGCGATCTCGACGAATTCAAGGCAAAATGGAGGGTTTGTAGACAGACAAGTTATTCCCTTGAACGTTTCTTAAATAAGCATTTATCATTAGACGCGGGTCATATGATGTAGTTTCCGTCGACGTTGGAGAGTTGTGCGGCACAACTTCGCAGTTATGTCTGGAAAGAAGCTTGCCAAAGATACGCAAGCGGTAGTTAAGTCCGCAGAAGGTATGTCTTCTATTTAAAGTAGTGGTAACAGCTTCATTTAAACACGGTTAAAAACATCACTTTTTACAAATGATATAGACTGAATAAAATTGAAAATTAGACAAAATACACCAGACTGCTTGACCGTGTATATTACAGACTTAAAGAAACAGCTTCATGCACCAGATTTGAAGCAAGCGATAGTTTGAGTTTGCCTCAGCTTTAGTAACCCAAAGACCGTTCAAAAACCCTGACCATTAATAGATAAACCAGTTTTATAATAAGTTGGCCCGAGGAAATGGAACAGCTTGCCATCAGAGCTCCTGAATGAATAGCTTGAAGTCTCGCTGCGGTTAGTAAACATTGATTACTTACTAATACTTATGTGGAAGACCAATAACTGATTTTCTTACTTTAGTCTAGATACTTTGTTTTCAGATTATGAAATATATATTTCAATATTGATCCATACTCTGCCAAGATCGCATTTCAAAATCGTTTTTGGAAATGAGTCTTCGTAGCCCTATACTACTTGATTATGCATACAATTATTTTCATACCCTTCTTCACACATGAACGGCAGTCATAAATGGAATGAGACCCACAAACTCTTATGCATAATTAAGTGTGTATCCATCCATGTAACAGTAGATTATTGGTGTTATTTTATTTCTGATGTTTATAGGAAAAAACGTTTCTTTGAACAATGATCGTTTCCAAGGAGATGGCGTGAAGTTCAAGTGCAAGGTTGAAACCGACTTCCTGCTGCCTTAGCTTGTATTAAGTTTTAATTTCTTCTTTGTATCACAGAAAATATTATTGTAAGAATAAGAAACTGCGTTACGCAAATACGAAGAGCCTCTGACAATTTACCCTTACGATATGGCTAAAAAAAACATACTCCGAGGAAGAGGTACAGAATAAATCAAGTTGTTTAAACGAAGTCCTAATCAAAAGCAAATTGATGACTGATCATGAATGAATGAAATCTCCCGCTAAATGCTTATTCATAGTCCCTAACCTTTCCATGACACCCCGCAAGCGTTTCCATCGTGCCGTGAGAATATCAATTTCAAACTAATTCGTTGTCATTCAATCGTCAGAAATAACAAATTTCATCTTTTGAAGGGAGGTAGCTTGCCAGCGCAGTCATTGATACAAAATCAAACAAATCTGAGGTCAAACAAATAGTCCAGTTTCGGGTTAACCGAGACAGCTGAATGAAAAGAATAAAGACTCATCTGTGCAGTGTTAATCTCAATCTGAAGTAATCATGACTTACGCGAAAGTGACGAGGCGTTAGCTGAAGCAATACATATTTTCAAATATTTTAATTCAGATCGAGACTAAAAACCCTGTATTTATGCATCTTTAGTATTTTTATACAGCGGTCTTGATTAATTTGAAACTGGATTCATTAGTCTAACAATATACATGCTTCCCGGCAATGCAACGAGGAACTGAAGTCGAAGCGGTCACATTTCACGGAAAACTCAGCAATTTTTTTTTTTCATTCTTCGCAGCTTGTAGGTATAGAAGATGTCGGTGGCGATGGTGATGACATGTGTTTCGAGGCAATCAAGAAAGTAAAGGTAGGTTATAGAGGGATTTTCACTTGAGTGTGGTTGGCTCAACTTTTTCATACAGTCAGAAGTAAAACCAAAACCAATCGTCACTCACTCGCTCATATTTTCCCTTCGCGTCAGCTACATGTATGTATTGGTTCCCTGGATTGCCTGTGTCCTTTGTGATTGGCTAGAGTGATGACCCCCCGTTGGTTTCGGTGATCAACACTCATTTGAAAATGGCTCTATTTGCCCACACAGTCAATGTTATGTTTAAACCAAAAAACTGATAGAGGTCTCGTTGTTCAGCCAATCAAGGTGCTGTTTCTTTGTGAAACAAGCTGCAGTTTTATAAGCAGACTGCCTTTGTCTTTAGTCCATAAGAGGCTAATAAATACTGCAAAGCCATGATTGCGTGTTGAGTTTCAGAGAATATACCTGCTACAGTTTGCTTATGACAAGTATTCCTGACGTAGTGTGTAGAGCCCAATCCCTCGCTGAGTCATCAGTAATCGAACATAAAATGGTAATCGAACTCACCATTTGATTTTGCTAATCAGACACGATCGATCATTTATTTCTAGCTTTATTTTCCGTTTTTGAAACACTTCTTCGCTCAGCCAAACTATAGTTTTGAGCTAAAACTTTCAACTACTTTTCATTCTGTGGTAAATCGACGGGGCCGCAATGGGAATTAAAATGGGAGTAAGCTATGCCAATCTCTCCGTAGATTACATCGAAAATCAAACTTGTCTCTTGTCTCTTTCCTTAAACGCGACAAGAATCTTGACTTTTGTGTTTAACCTTTCAAATCCAACAAGCAACAAGGCTAACTTTTGAATACTCAGGTGCGGGATGGACACTTGTCATTTCATAGGCAACACCGTACGCAGCTCCGAAACGCTCAATATCAAAATCATCGATCGTCTGCAACCTTTTCAAAATGCTATACATCTTTGAAAAGGGAAGGTAAGAGATGAGATCGCTTCCGCAAGCATTTAAGAGATGCAAAAGCAAGGACAAGGAACCTTTAAACCTGTCTCCAGACTAGATTCTTCTCGGTCGATCTTCAAAAAGCAAAATTGCTTCTGGTATTTCTCTTCATTAAGACAATAACGAATGTCACAAAATTTCAGAACAGAAATTTCAACTCTCAACTCGTTGGTACCTTTGCTCCCCATAGGTTCGACAATTATTTTCATTTAATTAATTCTCATTTTTCCGTTGTCATGCTTCTTCGAGTAGCCTACGTTATCAAATTTACAGTGTATTAAATACAGCTTAAGGTGGCTGACAGCAGTTTCCAGCTCTTTCCAAGACAGATTTTGATTGGTCATTACAACTATTCTTTATCAGTTGGTGTTACAATCATGATAGCAACGTGTTCACCAATGATTGCTCAGTTTCTTGATACCATGATTGTAACAGCAACTGATCAACAGTGTTCACAATGACACATCACAATCTCAGTCTTGGAAAGCGCTGGAAACTGTTGCCAACCACCTTAAGTTTCTAGTTCACGCGTTTTTAAACTCAGTAAGACATCCTTTGCAATTTAGGAGCGAGCGCAAGAATTAAAAAAGGGAAGCGGTAAGCACAAGCAAAAGATTGTTTTGCACGTCTCTTTGAATGGTATCAGGATAGTGGACGAAACAACTCAGGTGAGTTTTCCTAACATGCTAAAAGGATCAATTCTCCTTTAAAAAATGCAAAACTTGCTGCCAAACAGCTAGAAGTCAAGATGCTCGATTGATTGACTCCTTTAAACATATCTTATGTATTGGTATTGTACGAAGATAATGCACGCCAATCATAATGTACTGGGGACGAGACAGGGGAAACGTGGCTGTTATTTATGCTATTCTGATCATCTTTACCTGTGTAAAAAGAAGGAATATAAGGTGCAGAAAGAACTTTCTCTTTTAATGTTCTAGCATAGTCATATTCATTTGGCATATATGGAGAGTGTCGACGGTTTGGCTATAAGATTTGGTCATCATAAACTCAATCACCGCATTGCAACACACATCATTGAAATAACCCGGAGCACCATTGCAATAGGTAACCATCACTGACCAATCACCACTAACCGCCACGTTAACCGAAAAGCAGCTTCTGAGGTGCTTTGGTGTGTTCTTACACAGCCATTGTTGCATCGGCCATACTTTTCTGGATCGTACTTGCGAGGAAAACTTTCATTTTAATTTACTTCAGGGAGCCATAGAAATTCGGGAAATCATTTCGGTTGTTAGGAAGAAAGATACTCCACGATTTGCCGGGAAAATTTTCGTTTCGATCGATCAAAAGTATCGTAAAATAGTGACTTGTTTAACGGCGAGTCGATTTTAGCTTTCTTTCACTTCTCCGGTTAATTGAAACCTTCCCGCACTACGCCCGTTTATTTTGGTACACCAGCATCAGTACAGTGAATATTTTTATATTTTGTCATGTTGTAGTGATCAATGTCGAGTAAAGATACCGTAGAGTCCTGGTTATAAGATCCCAAGATACAGACGAAAGAACGGTTACAGGAGAAATATGTTTGGACTTTAGTTTCCAGGAAATTTGCTCTCTTAGGGTTCGGTTACACGGAGCTCTTTTTACTTTGGTAAATGACCCTTTAACCACGGGAAACTGCATTAAGTGAGTATGACCAATATTTCCGGAGGTAAATTTCCCGTGGTTAATACCCATGGATACGTCAAAAAGAACACATACAACACCTTGACATTTAATGTGGTAAGTTGCAATGGTGATTCTCCGTTTGACATTAATACGTAACCAAAAAGGAAAAATGGTTTTCCTCCGTGTGCCATTTTTGTTACCTTAGCAAAATCCCGTGTAAACCGTTGGTTCACAACGTATACCTGAAAACCCAGCCAAAAAAAAAAGTCAGCGGACATATAGCCCCAAGTTATTGCGGGGGGGGGGGGNGGGGGGGGGGGGGGGGGGGGGGGGGGGAGGAAGGAGGGCGTATGATTGACAGATTAAAGAGTCATTGAAGTAAACACATTTTGCAGGTTAGGCTTGTTTTTCGCGGCAGGTGAAAACAAATGACATCATCGCAAAGCACGTACACACGAGACGGTTTGGTTTTTAGTTGTGATTCTGGACCGTGCAATCAACAATAACGTGGCCTGTTTCGTCGGGATGCGAGATGAGGTGCTATTGTGCTTTTGTTACATAACTGGGACAATAGACCATTTTACAGTTGTCTGCTCAGTGACCTGGCCTTTGTATGGCAGCGAGGCCAGAGTTGACCTTGTTTTGATATAGACCTCACTGCTTTTGTTCTGTAAAACAAGTTGTTCTGATGCTAACTAGGTGCATTTACAAAAGAATGACAAAAGCAGTGAGGTCTGTATCAAAACAAGGTCAACTCTAGCCTCGCTGTCATACAAGGGCCAGGTCACTGAGCAGACAACTGTAAAATGGTCTATTATTAATTCTGTTCACAAACACGACTTTTGAATCGGGTTGGCTTGGGGATGTTTACTGTGGGAACAGCTTTATTTCATTGGCTGTATTTCGACTACATTTGTCCCGGGATTTGCTGATTAGTTCCAGTGGAGACAAATAGTGCAGTTAGCCTCAGCTCCTACGCACAACAATGGCCGTGTAAGAACACACCAAATTACCTCAGAAGCTGCTGTTCACCGATTGGGCAGAATAATACAAAGGATTTTTCTGCCCAATCAGGAGCCACCATTCGCCGAGCCATTAGGAAATGGTCTGGTAAGAGTTGGTTTCCAGGGGCTCTTTCGGACGCCCCTGTAATTTTTCGTGAAACCTTTCGTCGTGCCGCTTTATTTTCCTCGCGCCCCGATTAACCGCCCCTGGGTCTCCGAGGATGAAGTCAGCCATGACCGAACTAAAGCCAAAATTGGTACTATGATGTCTAGCTGCCCACGGTTTTGTTTGTTTTTGTATTATATCCTTAGAATGGTACAAACCGGTTCGGTGAAATAAAACTAAACTAGGGTATTTAGAAGATAGTAATGCTGCAGCACATTCTGTTGATAGTGACCTAGTTTACGCAGTGATTCATCTACCTGCGCGTTCCAAGACTTATGGCTGGCTGGCTGGCTACCTGGCTGGCTGGCTACCTGGCTGGCTGGCTGGCTGGCTGGATAGATGGATGGATTGATTCATTCACCCATAGCAAGAGCACCGATGCCGAGGCGTACCAAAAAGTACGATTAGGTATTTACCGTGCCAAAATTCGGGCAACCTCCCGACCATATCAGGTCAGTGATTTCGTGTTGCAAGATATCAGGACAGTAAACGAGGTTTCTGTTAGCATATTCTATTTAGCTTAATTTGGGCAAGAAGTGTTTGTAACCACGATATTTTTCATTGCAGGAAGTACAGCACCAGCATCCAATCAATAAAATAACATACGTAACCCCTTACCCGGATGACAAGAATATTTTTGGGTATATCTATAGTCCTTACCACGCCGGATATAGGATTTTTGTTGTGAAGTCAAAGAAACCTGTAAGTGAAAGCTTTTTGTAGTGAATGTTAAACACTAAAAAGCCAATAGCTTCACTATAGACAGACAGACAGACAGACAGATAGACAGACAACCTTTATTTAAGCACGATTAACATTAAAGCTCAGTAGCTTCTGGGGTAGTGCAAAAACATAAAATAAAATAAAAAATAAACTTCCTACAAAGTATATGCATAATAGACAATTCATCTAAAATTCGTCGAATGAATTAAACTGAGAGTGGATTAATTAACTTCTTACATGTACGTTATACGTACTCTAAAACAGCTACGCTACAGTCACTTTAGAAGAAATTTTGCACTGATGACCTCAGACGTCGTTGTTGAAGGTACTAATCTTCAACAACCGTTCCACAATGTTGGCGGTGCATTCCAATCCATGTTTTTCGCGTAAAGTCCCAAATGCTTCCTTGGCATTCGCCTTTTGTTTTGCAACGACGTGTCATACGCCAGTGAATAATCATGATGTGTGAAGCGTGGATGTTGTGAACATTCTGTGGGCGGACATGTGCCATTCAAAGTTAAAGGCTTTGATTGAAGACTTCATGGTATGAAATCCAAGTGTTTTGCTCCCTGGCAACTCCCTGGGAACTGTAATGATCCTTTGTTATTTGCGAGTTAAAATTCAAAACGAAGGGAAAAAAGAAATGAAAAGTGCTAGATTTCCTGCTGGTGACGTGTTGCTGTTTATTCATGTTAGATACATCTAAGAAGCGGTCAGAAAGTCTTACAACAAATTAAGAACAGTATCACAAATTAATGAAACTACGCTCCGCGACTCTAGTTTCTATATAGGGCGACTACGCTCCCTTGAAGGGGATGGTAGTCTATGTCAGCCTTCCCCCGGCATTTAAGGGGGTATGGTACCCTAAAATATGGCGATGTTCATGAAAAATTCAATTTCTTGGAAATACAAGACTTAAGACCCTTGAGGACTTGTCAAAAAC